AATAACTGTGTGTGTTGATAAAAATGTGAGCAGCATCTAAATGATGGAACGAAGGAGTCGTGCAATATGTCAGTAATATTTCAGGTTAAGCAAAAATATCCCCAAATGTTTTAGATATTAAATTTGAGGCAGTTAACAAAATGCCTGACTCTTTTAATGTGCACATTCCAACCAATTAAACTCGCGAGGGCATTCAACAAAAGCCATGTTCTTTTTTTCCTTGACAAGTTTGCACTCCCTGCCTCCATCAATGCCACAAATTCATCAAATATTCACACAATGCTGAATCACTTGAGGACAACTCTAAAAGTTACTGTTACCTTGGACGTGACTCTACAACAGAATTTACTGTTGTAGAGTCACGTAGAAGCCATTGTAGAACCCATTATTTCTCCTGTAAAAGAATTGTTCACGACAATCCAATCTGCAGAGGAATTTTGCTATTCATAAAAGAACACAAATTAAATCTCTCTTAGTCTCCCAGTCTGATCGATGTTGTGTGAGTGATTACAGTACAAGTATTGTGCAAAGCTGGACTGGAGTCTGTTTGCATGTGTTGTTACCAACACAAGAAACTATACTGATCATTTCACTTACTTTGTATTATATTTATTATATAAATATTATATATTTATATAAATATTGTATATTTGATGAACACATTGACATAGATTTGTAGGTTTAAAGTTAAGGACTGTAGTTTACATTATATAAACCATGGCTACAGCTTTTAAATGCACACAACTCGTAATGCTTCCTGCATTATCATCAAGTCTTGTCACTGTTACTCTATACTAATTATTGCTATTGTCAAACCAATGATCAATGTTAGGTAAAAATTTTGGAAGGCTGTATGAATTTTACTTAACTTAAACTACATGAGAAGAAAACTGACCAACATTATACTGAGCTGATTATCTCAAGATTCACTGTCAGTCCAAGACTGACTTGACAGCAAACCTCCGATATCTGTCCATTTTATGCTCCTTATCAGGTCTCCAGATCATGAGGGTAGCAATGTAATCAGAGATACCCAGAAGTCACTCTACCTGGACACCTGCTCCAGCTTTTCTAGTGGGACACTGAGGTATTTCCAACCTAATATTATCTCTCCTGAGCTTCCTGGGTAACCCCAGGACATCCTTCTAGTTGAACATGCCCAAAACATCTCACCTATAGGGGAAAGCCACCTCCGCTGACTGCTTTTAGTGTGAAGAAGTAGCAGCTCTACTCCAAGTGCTTCCCAGATGACGGAGGTCCTCACGCTATCTCTAAGGGACAGCCCAGATATTCTTCAGAGAAAGCTCATTCCTCATTTGTCAATCTAGTACAGGTGCTACACCAATCCATTTGTCATTCTACTACTCTGTATATATATATACACATAGCTATAGATATATAGATATGGGGTAGAGCAGGTCATCTAGTGATCAGAAGGTTGGTGGTTTGATCCCTGTCAAGTATCCTTGGGCAAGATGCTAACCCCAAATTGCTCTCTGATGCATCAGAGTGTGAATGTACTTAGAAAGCACGATGTATAGAGAATGGGTGTGATTGTGGCATGTTGTATAGAGCACTTTAAGTAATCCGGGAGTGTAGAGCACGCTACTTAAGAATCTGTCCATTCACCCCACCTGTCAGACTGAGTTCGTGCTGTTATTTAAATGGAAAATAAAGCTGTAAGATAACTGTTTTTGACTCAGTAGAGAATTAGAGGTGAAACATGATGCAACAGAATCAAATAAAACAGAGAATGCTGTGGAATAGCAGCTCCACTGGAAACTACCCAGACATGCATGTGAAGATGCCCTTGATGGGGAGATTGTTGAATTTTAAAGGGCCCCTTTACCAGAGCCTTTGCTTACCTGAACCTGATTGGATGTTTTGTGTTTTATGCGTATTATTGATATTTACATATATATGTGTGTGTGT